CTCCAAAACTTCCAAAAAAAAAAATGAGAAGAGTGCCATTGACTTTTTTTTCAGCTTTTTAAAATTGTGGTTAAATGTACATACCATAAAATGGTTGTTTTTTTTAAAGATTTTATTGGGAAATTGGGAGAGGGGAACAGTGTTGGGGAGTTGGGGAAGGGGACCAGCCAAGTTGTTGTTCTTCAGTCTTCATTGTGGAGGGCGCCAGTCACCATCTGGCTTCCCGTTGGTAGCTCGTGGCCTCTAAGCTCAAGGTGCTGTGTTCAATCTTAGTTGCAGGTGGGCGTAGCCACCATCCCATGCTGGAGTCTAATCAGCAGCCTTGTTGTTAAGAGTGCCCGTTCTATCTACTGAGCCATCCAGGCGGCAGCTCAGCTCAAGGTGCCAGAGTTCAGTCTTAGTTGCGGGTGGGAGTAGCCCACCATCGAAAAGGCAATCTTGTTGTTACACCAGTTGAGGCATCCTGCCACCTGTTGGCAGCTCAGCGATAGCTCAGCTCTGGCGCAGCGTCACTGGCCCATGTGGGAATCGAATTGGAAGCCCTGTTGCTCAGAGCTTGTGCTCTTAAGCCAACTCTTAACCAACTGAGCTGCTCACTCTTAACCAACTGAGCTGCTCGGTAGGCCCAAATGTATCCTTTTTTAAGTGCACAATTCAGTGGTATTAAGTACATTCACCTTGTTGTGCAACCATTGCCACTATCTATCTCCAGAGCTTTTTCATCATCCTATACTGAAACTTTATATCCATTAAACAGTATCTTCTCATTGTCCCCCCTCCCAGTCCCTGGTATCCACTATTCTTTTCATCTCTATGAGTTTGAGTATTTTAGGTATCTCATACAATATTTGCTCTTTTGTGACTGACTTCTTTCACTTAACATAATGTTTTTAAAGGTCATTCATGTAATAGCATGTGTCATAATTTCCTTTTTAATGCAGAATAATATTTTACTGTATGGATATTACCATATTTTGTTTATCTGTCCATTCATCTGTTCATGGACATTTTGGTTATTTCCACCTTTTGGCTATTTTGAATAATGCTCCTGTGATCATTGGTGTGCACATATCTGTTTGAGTCTCTGTTTTTAATTCTTTGAGATATATACCTGGAGGTAGAATTAATGGATCATATGATAGTTGTATGTTTAAGTTTTTGAGGAACCACATTACTGTTCCACAGCAGCTATACCATTTTACATTCCCATTAGCAATGCACAAGGATTGCAATCTTCACCAACACTTGTTTTCTGGGATTTGTTTGTTTGTTTGTTTGTTTGTTTTTTTATAAGAACCACCCTAGGGGTGGTGTTGTTTTACACTTTGACAAAACAAATGTGTGACTTAATAGAAGATAGCTGGATTTTTACATCTGCTTCTATATTTCATCTATTGCACTGTTTTGTCTGAAGAAGAAGAAAATTCCACCTTTCATTCATATGTAGTTGGAAAAAGAGGAATATTTTAGCAGCTTTTCTTAGATAATTATGGATATTCTTTGATAGCCCATCAGAAGTTTGACAAGTGGTAATTTTTTAAAAGTTAGTTGCAGAGTGGAATATAAAACTATACATGTACTTTTCTTACTCTGTTACGTTGCAATCCATGAGTCTATCTTATACTGTGAAAGGACCTTTTACTCATGCATGATTTTGTAATATCAAACATTGTTACTTGGAAAATAGTGATTCACTCTGTTAAACAGTTCTTCCTAATTTTGACACATTTCATTATACATTATCAAACAATTGCACTCTTTAATGTCATCATCCATCATCATAAATGTCTTCAAGTATTAGGAAGCTGGCAAGTTCAGCGTGGCAGATACAATTTTTCAAAATTCTAATTTTCATTTGAAAGCTGAAATTTTATCATTGGTATCAAATACTATCAATTGTTTTCTTCAAAGTGACAGGTTCACTTTGTTACATTTTTTTGAGAAAATGTTTGCCAAATACTTAACCCTGAATAACTGCTTTGTCTGTCAGTCACTTTTTTTTTCAAGTACAAATGGGGTTCCATGAAAAATGCAGCTATTTCAGCTCACAAATCAGTCAGTTGCACAAAGCTTTTGATTTGGACAGCCAAATGCTCTGCAAAACCATTGTAATTAGAAAGCAGAAGTGCTTTATGCATGAGTTGCCGCCCATATATAGTCAATCATTGAGATTTAACAAAATTAACAATTTTTACTGTTTCATCAAGAACATTCTAAAGTGAAATCGACATTTTTAGCATGAGGGAGTGTCAGTAAAGAATAATAATGACTATTAGGGCAGTTTGGTGCTACTGCCTTGATTTGTTCTAAGGTGCCACCAATTTTATCAACCATTGCTTTTCATCATCATTGCAAATGTCAACCAAGTGAAAAATGTAAATACTGTCTTAATATTTTTATGAAATACTTTTAACCTCACGGACTCCTTGAAATGGTCTCAAGGACCCCTCCCATACCCCACCCCCAAGGATTGCAGACCTGACTGAATCACAGAATCTCTTTGTTGCCAAATCTGTGTCTTCCAAAAGGAGTCAATACTAGACAACATGGAAGGCCCTCTGGTTCTCTTGATCTATTTTTCCTGTTTCCTCTGATAGTTGGGAGATCATTCGTGTATCATAAGAGTTGACTAGGTTTTTGGTCAACTGACTTTGATTTATTTTGGGTTATCCTGTTGGCAGAGTTGCTATAACCCTTCCCAAAGCCAGCTTGGCATCCAGGATATTGATGGACACATTAACCCAATTTCTGAGGAATAAGCGGACGAGGAATCTAGAGATCGGACTGGGTTACTATCCAGGTAACCTCATGACCTTAAATAAATCCCCCAATCTCTTGGATCTCTCTCAGGTTTTTTATTTTATAAAATGAAAAGGACTAGATGATATCTAAGAGTTCTGTCAACTCTTGTTGCCATAGCAATTAAACTGCTACCTTAGCCAGAATGCACAGCGTATGAGCCAAGCAAAATCTAAAATATAGAGTGAGGGATGGATGGCATGGTTAAAAAACAACTGAGAAAGATGATCCAATAGTATTTAGTTCAGATTATAGCTATAATAGCCCTAGCTTCCTCTTTTCATTAAAAAAAGAAGCTTAGGTTTGTAAAATTATGATAGCAATGCATGTTCATTATCAAAAACTTAGAAAATATTGACAAGCAAAAGAAAATTCATACAGTCCGCCCATCCAGAAGGACCAATTGTTAATAGCTTCCAAAATCTTTTCTACATATATATTTTTTACAACTATGAGATTATACCATGTTTATTATAATTTTTATGTAATGTAAACATCCTTCCATAATGTAAACAGCTACAACATTCCATTTGGGGGTGTATGATAATTTAATTAATCCCTACTTTTGGACATGTCAACTATTTCCAACTTCATACTATGTGTTAAACAGTGCTTAAATAAATATTCTTGCTTATTAAGTCTCTTTCTAAATCCTCAAATATTTCCTTAGTGTTAATTATTAGCAATGGAATGTGTACATCAAAGGACATGCATATCTTTTAGGCCTCTGGTACTTAACTATCATATTCTCCAAAAAGTTACTACCAAATTATACTCTCACCAGCAGAGTATGTAAATGCTAGTTTCCTACACCTTTACCAACACTGAGCATTTTAATATTTATAATCCTTACCAATATGATAAGTGGAAATTTCTGTTAGTATAATTTGCATTTACTTACATTTTTTTGAGGATTTAT